GCAGACAGACAGACAGACAGACAGACAGACAGACAGACAGATATTTTTGTTCAGTAATAATAGTACCTCGTATGAAGCAGACAGCCCGCTTGATATAAAGCATCCTTTTGTTTTTCCACATGTCGAATTATCAAATGAGTTGCTCTGTAAAGAGAGAGACTTTGCTTGTTGCAAAGCAAGTTGTCACTAAAACTTGAGTTGTACCATATTCGAAGGTATTCGGAAGGAATGGGTACGATTAGTGGATGTAGGGGCCAACCGTACAACGACTAACAGTGGCTACTTTGTAGAAGAGAGAGGATTGGTTGTCACCATGAAAAGTGTTTGGCCAGAGGTTCATAAGGGAACGAACTGGACAAACTGAAGGTCAACCTATCCTTCGGGTTGACGCTGCCCACAAGTAACGTTGTAGGAATTTTTGAGAGGAAGGCATTCAGTAATTGCTTATTTCTGCCCCTCCTGTCCCTCCATGCGTAGTCGGCAATCCTTCGCTGTTCTTCCAAGCATAGATGCTCTGTAATCAGCTAAAAAATCTTGGAACTCCTGAGGGGCATAGCAACCTCTCAAGGATACAATCTATCTTCTACATCAGACACCCAGGTGTGTAGCGTAGGCTGCGGACATTAGCTACCCGGCTTTCCTTTTTTAGCCTGTGCCCTGTCAGTTAGGTGGTAGAATTACTGTTATAGCTTTAAACGAACTCAGTATGGACTAGTTATGATGCGCTAGCACAAATTATGGGTCGGTTCTATACGGGAAGGGACGGAAAAGTAATGCACCTAACGTACTTGGCTACTAGCTAACAAGAACAATTAGCAATCGGAAGATCGTGGAAATCGTCATTCTTATCCGAGACACCTACATAGATCCCAGAATGAACCGAGTTCAATTTGATGGTGAACTGCCTTCGAAATTCACCTCCCATCTCAACCTAAAGAACAATTACTATTCATGATACTTACGTTCTGGTTGCTAGGGTCTATTATGGGACGAGGAGACGACACGCAAGTGTGCTTGTGTTCTGTGAGTCCTGCAACATGAATACGTGACGACAACGAAGAATTCTCACTTGTTTTCCTTTTCAAAACAATAAACTGACCGTTTGCTCCCGTGTAACCACTGGCAAGCAACAAGTAGTAATTCTGGAGAGGCTTGAGATGAATCACCTGGAATGGGGTTTTGAATTGACTCTTGTCTATAACACGAACCCTCGGCTCTAATGAAGACGTCTTGGTAGAGTCCAACATGGCTTTTGCCAGTGGGAGGTGATCGACGTCTATCTAGGAGATGTGTTCATAGAAGCCCCAGTAGAAATGGAAAACTTCTTTGCCTTATTACCGAGAGCTCTTCCGTATTTCTGACCATGGTGCTCTCTCGTCTGGCACCTTCAGTCAGTTTACGTCCCTTCATAAAATCGAAACCAGCATTGTACAGTGTCTGCTTCCCCCTCTACCTCTGCTATGGCAACCCGCTATCTCGTATCGCGACAGTCGACGCCCACTAAGTATGACCGCAGCTTGGTAAAGCAACTCAACTACCTTCAGGAACATGGCCAAGCTTACTTTGAAGCGCTTCATCTTCTCCGCTGATAGCTGGTTCTTTCCCAGTCGACCCTGACCCGAAACAAATAGAAAATGAAAGACCACGAAGAAGTTAATAGGCTTGAGCCTGTCGTCAGTTATCATTCGCACTATTCGCACTATTTTCACTTGGAGGTCCATTGTGGGTGTTACTTCTTGGTGGACAGCAAACGAGTCGTGACGGCGTGTGTTGAATAAATAGGATCGGACCTGATCAAACTTAACAGACTCCTATACACGCTTCGAAAACCTTGGGTAACGTACGCGCTATCGCGCTATCCTCAAAGAGCATACTGCGGGATGAGCAGCTCAGAATCACAGAGCATTCTCCCTGATGTGAACCTCCGCCTCTAGCTATACTATGTTGTATCAATAAAAAGTATACAATTAGCCATACAACTTTTATGCATACATACTTTGTCGTACGAAAAAAATTGACTGCATTTTCGAATAGAATGAGATAATCCAGGCATCAGTAGGCCAGAACCGACCATTAGATACGTTCTAGGAACAAAGGGGTCCTACAAAAGAACAGCACGCCCTGAGCATCTAACTAAGTTGATTATGGTATATATCGGATAATAATCTGAGAATTTCCAGAAACAAATAAAGTTATTTTATTTTGAACTTGACATCATATAGTATACCCTTGAGTTAATAACCTATATAATCAGAAACGGTTGAATGCATCTTTTTGAACAACCCAATCGAAATGGCTAGAGACAAGTGAGTGATGCTGGATGGAAAAATCCTATAAGCCCGACTTGACGAAAAAACAGAGAAAAAAATTTTGAAAAATATTGAAGATGGTGAAAAACAAGTTTTTGTCTTTATTTTGAATCCAGATAAATCTAATTTTAGACTGAATTCTCGAGAAAGCTATAGTAATACTTCGATTTGAATGAGAAGAGCAATTCAGAAAATGTAATTTTTCACTTGTTTATATGTTTCCTTGCACCATATCTGCTCCTCCTCCACCTCACCCCCACCCCTCCCACTCCCCCACCATATTTTCGATTGTATCGTAGCTGAATAGGCGCTACCGTGTACCATAATATAATAATAGTAGTGATGACTGACTGACCTGATCACTTCCACTCCAGCCGGTTATTTTCACTATGGCGCTACAGTACAGTTGAGCATCGCTAGAAGCGACCATAGATTGAAGGATGTACTGTGAACGGATCGTCTGGAAAATGGCAATCGCGTATGAAATATTTTACATCAGTAGCCTGGTGGTTTCAGAGGTGATCCCCGTCTTCCCCAAAAGTTCTGCATATTTCTGCATCACCTGTATCCTACAGGGAAGCTTATCTCAAAAAAAAGCATCAAAAAAACTTGGCTACTCGAAGCCTTTTTTGGGTGGTGGGATTTCATGACCCATATTTCACCTATGCCCCAACCTCACCGTGCACGGTGCCTCCTGTGATGGTGTGCTTTCAGCTCTACAACACAATCTTGCTTGCCTATGAGATAAATAGCGAATGGGAGCTTCTATTAATCGGTTTCTCAGCCCAAACAGTGTTTAACTACCTCTTCGCCTGGAATTCGAACATTTGTAGGTGTAGCATCGTTGTAGGAGAACTTCAAACTGTAATGTTGGTTGACCAGAGCTGAGCATTCGATCACGTAGTCATCACCCTAAAAAGGTATTTATACGAAATTGATTTCCTTTGTTATTGAAGAATTTTACATAGATTTTATAAGTCTAATCGAAAAGAGCTAAACAGCTCTGTTGTACTCTACCGAGATAACTTTCTAGGAACCTCTGCCGGCCCTAGTAGTAAGCATGACGGCGAACGGGCCAGTGATCAGCCTGGGCGAGCCTTCGATTCTTTCCTTTTCAGATGCTTTTGAGGAGAATTTTCACCGTTAGAGCAGTTCTTCAAGAATTATGGGTGCTAAGTGATAGTATATACCATTTATTATTTGTTGTCCCGTTAATTATAGATTGCCAAAGCATTCCTTTCATCCTGGGCTTAGAACTCTGACCATCTCGCTTACGGCCGTCCTGGTGTTCGTTTGACGTCACGAGGGTCCAGTCAGTCAGGTCCAACGGTCTTTGCGATGTCATGTAACGGGTCGGGCCCACTTGTTCTTCGATTCTCTAGCGTAAGCAGTGGCATATTTAATCTTCGTTCTTTGGCGAAGTCCAGAACTCTAAATTCCTCTCTGCACTTGCCTGTTTACGGGAAACCCAAGCATCGTCATTCCCGGAGACATTAATGACGCACTTTTTCCAAAAAGTTTGTTTTCCCCTTAATCTGTTTGGTTTTGATTTACACAAATTTACTCACCATCTTCATAGACGTCAGAAATCCCGCTGAATTCGAGAATTGCTCTGTTTTCATTATTTTACTACTCTACCATGATTACTTTTTTGATTCCTCTCCCTTTTATTCAATAGCCTTTAATTTATGATTGAACTAGTGGCCGAAAATTCTCCCTAATAACTATAGCATTGCTTTAGAAAACCCTTACACTTACTTACAGTATCTTCATAAATTTATACCTTAGAAAATTGTTTTTCACATTTATTTTCAAACACAAAAGCTCACCATTTTGTCGTCATCAGAAAAACCAACAGCTACATATTGGTTGTTGTCGGGAGCGATGGAAAATAGCTCGATTCTCATCATTGTATCATTGATCATCTGAAGAGGTAAATATTCGACCTATTTAAAATTGATTTAGTGTTAAATTTTGAATTGAAATTGAGAAAAAAGGTCTAAAAATTTATTTCTAAATTCGCCAGTTGGAGGGTGTCCATAGCTCGAAAACCTAGTGGAATAAACAGAACAATACGGATGAGCCATGTATTCTACTCTTTTTATGAATGTGATTTTACGTTCTGACGGTTTTGAGGCCGGTTTTGAACGGCATTGAAGTTTAAATCGACAAACTACTCCAAAACATCTCAGTAGTCCGAAATTAGTCATTTAGAGTTCGCTTTTTGTAAACGGGATCTGATGCCATGTTGGATGGCATTGCTAAGAAGAAGTAGTAATGTTCCGGTATTAGTAATTCAATAGATTTGCCACCTTTTTTTTAGTTGTATGTAGGGAATAAAGTCATACCGAGTAATTTTTTTTAAATCATTATTTGGGTCATCATTATTTAAAAGAGAAAGCGCGAGAGAGATTTTTGAAGAAAGCTTGTAAAAAAAAAGGCCTGCAGATGATCATGACGACAGAAGTGGAAGGGGCATTCATATGAGCTGTCAGTTGTGTACTGTTGTGAAGAGCTGGTTACAGTAAGTCAAAAATGCTAAAAATTGCCCGACACGGTCCCCATGGGTCATGACTAGCTTTTTGAGTTTTCAACATGTGTGCTCCACTGCGAACGGTGCAGCCTCCTCGCGGTTTTCAAAACACGGCCACCTTTGGGTGTGGTGCACAGTGGACGTGATCTTCGAGACCTCACCATATTCTCTGTAAGCCGTTTTTCGACCTGGCAGCGCCACATGTGGCACATTGGGGTTAGGGAAGAGGGGCTACAGATACATTTTGGTGGAAGGACGTCGTAAGTAATTTTTATGTCTAACTATGCCTGTAGAGATTTCAACAATTTTTACCAAATTAGTCAGTCGGACGAAGTTGGAAGCGTTTTTACTTCGAGTCCACACCTATTTTTATTCATTGAATGAAAAACTACCTTATATGAGAAGCCCATTCCATTGCATCCGCGATAGCACTCAGTCGGTAGAAAACATTCCTTATCGATTCCACATGTGCTCGAATCAAAATACTCCTTAAAATGTTAGTTAGTTAATGTATACACACAGAATTACTAAATTATGTGAATAATTTGGCTTGAACGTAACTGATTCACCCATGACTCGTCTTATTAGGGGTTGGGGGAACTGCGTTTATTGCGTTTGCAGAGTTCAAGACAGCTCTTGTTCTTTTTTGGTGAGGGGATATCTGTCCGATTCTTTCAGTTAAAAATAAGTCGGGCATTCTCAGTAGGGGCACTGGAGTAGAGGGTCGCTGTCAACTTCCCAATAGGAAAGGACCCACTGGTGCAGCTTACAGCAGAACACCATCCAGAGGTTTTCTGTGCTGACTCAAAGGAAATCCTATCCAACCAGTTGCTTCACCAGGATCAGAAAGTCATGGCTACCATCTACAGCAGTCAACTTCAGGAACTCCTGCAGCTGACGAAAGGCAACCGAGAAGACTTCCTACTCATTTCCTTCTGTGGTAGTGCTAGGCTACAGAAGGCTCGGTCGTCACTAAAACCATCGAGTCTACATTACAAAACTTGGCTGAAATACTGTTGCGCACCCTTTGTAACACCACTACTTTTGGCGACCTCAAAATGACTTCACTCAAATTCTTTGGCTTATAGCCCTTCCTTTCTGAAAACGGATATAAATGACAAGATTTTCATTGGATGAACACCACAAATATTAATGGTGAATGTACAACTAGCCTGTAATCAATGAATGAATAAAAAACTTTAACAATTGAATAGTTTAACAGTTTTTCTACTTCTCTTTTGTCCTTGTTTGGCATTTGATATTTACAAATACTTTTGTTTATCATTATTTCTTATTATTACCAGAAAATTATAACTGTAGAAAAAATGGAAAATGTTTTGTGTTACCTCATATTGCGTCAATTTGTTGGGAAGAGGTGACTCGTTGGATTCAGACGGAGGCAAAAGCTCTTCAAATACGTCATTATGATTATTGGAAGCATTCACACTATCGCCATCGAAAAGAAAATTGCTAAACGTACCATTTTTCGAAGTCATACCACTATTGAGTAGTAGATAATATGATTGGTTCGGATTATATTTGAAAATCTAAAATGAACTGGATCCAGGGAAGTTTTTTGCCTGACTTACAAGGGGGCCAGGATTTACATGGTTACCTTATCACTCACGGATGACCCTTGAACATTCACCACAGCTGAGCAGTAAACCTGTCCATCTTGAAACACTGCCACCTTGTCAGTGAAGTATTGATCACGGATGGCCTTAATTGTCATTTTTGGGATCAATCGATAGACCAAAATATGTGGAATTCATTAATTTCTACCGACTAAGCAAAATTGATAATTCTCTTTCCCTTAATTTGCGCCGACTCCGCCAGTATCTTTTCACTTATCGCTTGCTGCGAAAGCTCCGCCCATCACACAGACTCCACCCCATGCTGAGAAACTCCCTTGTTGACCATTCTTTTAATTACTACTACTGATATACTTTAGCATAATATTATACACCCGACAAATGCTCCTTGTTAGCTCTCCTTCGGCCCAAAATTAAAGGCACAGTTCGCAATAAAAATGGTTTCTGAGATTTCTCCATAGAATGAATTCGAGGCCCTCGCGTATACCATATCTGACACTATCAGGTCGGAAAACGGCATAGTTAGGGAGTTATAAAGGCTCAAAGATTGGCCCGGACGAGTTTCACCGCCATTGTGGAGGCTACACCGATCACGAGAGAATCCATGTAGGAAGTTCGAACAACTTTTCATGACTATAGCGACAGTGGAAGACAGTTCTGTACATTTCTGGCCTGATGTAGTCAGCTCTTTGCGCAATTGCAGTAACTGAAAGCTCGTCCGGATACAACCTCCATGTTATTTCCGTCTTGGCAATCTCGTCCAATCTATTTTTCCTTTTTTTGAGATGCCATATTCTCTTCGAAATCGGCGAATGCTCTTGCTTTCTTCACTAACTATTCCCAGTCTATACTTCCAATTTTTGAATTCAAACGGGTACCTCAAAATTATCGTGAACTGTGCCTTTGCAAATCGAAGTGTTCACGTACCTCTTCGCCTGGAATGCGAACGTTCGTCCAGTAATCGTAGTTATAAGAGAATTTCATCGATAGCTTTCCATCGTCTAGCGATGAGCATTCTATTGTTGACATGTTTTTCTGAATACATTTAAATTTAAATTTACATTTAAATTTGCTACAATAACCTATTTGTTGATGTTGTATAGTGAGAAGCATTCACCAAAAGGCGTTAAAATACCCTTCAAACAACAGCTTTTACCTGATGGTCTTCTAAAAGAGTGAAATGCTGACCCTCTTATGATATCGAAGCACCGGGAAGCCGAGTGCATCTATGAACAGAAAAGGGCACAAGAGAAAGTGGTAGGAGACTTAGGCCCATGAAACAACATGCCCGAAGCATGTCCTATTTAAACCGCATTCCTTCCAGCTTAGGGTGATCGGAGGATCACCAGACTATCCCGAAGTTTAGTTGGTCCAATAATTACTATTATTTTATTTTAAGAATATTATTTTACGCCCTTCTTTGAAGTCTCTCTATAAGTCGAAATGATGCGTGATTGAACATTTTCTTGAATGGCTTTCGAGTTTCCAAGCTACGAAGCAAACGAAAGCGCCAAAACGTAGGCTGTATAAAGTAAAAGGTCTAACTGAAGAAAAGAAACCTTGATTTACTACTTAGAAGGTGGTTAAAAGAGTAGTTGGAGAGTTTGAAAATTTCAAAATTCATCCGTCTCAAACTTTTGAAGGGCTCTCAGGGTTCCTATCGAGTTTTCGTGACTAATATCATCATTTATGATGTTTTATTGGTTTGTGAGCAGGTGGCGATAACAAAGCTTAACCCCCTCCATTTCCCCTTTGCCCACCCTTTATTGCTCAAAAATTAACAAAACAAAAAAAAATAATTCCACTGACAAAGAGAAAACTGGTAGAGAATGAAACGGCCACGTAGAAATTGACACTGCCATAAGCAGGAGCCAGCAGTTCGAAAGTGATAAAAGACGAGTTCAGAACTCTGAAACAGGAACTTCTTTGAACTGATGTTTTTGTTGCACAGATAGTAATATCGAAACCGATGGCCCTAAAACCCAACAACTCTAGAGCTTCGGATTAATTCCTTAGATATGTCCCAATTTTGTCTTTAGAGTCGGGTATAACAGCATTTGATTGTCTCATTTGGTCCCCGTAAGGTGTACCGCTTTGTCTTTTACCCGTGTCGCTGCCTTGTGCGTATATTAAAAGGAT